AGCTCTTGTGTGGGACTCGATGAGAGCGCATATATCCAAGAAGGTTAAAGCTTTGTGCCACCAGCGAGATATTGCCATGTGCGTTGTGCCGGGAGGCTTAACACCCTACCTTCAAGCTGGTGACATTGGTATTAACAAGGTTTTCAATGACAATTCATCGGGTTTAATCGACCAATGGAAGTATTTAGCGGCCGTTGAATACACCCCACGCGACAATCCCCGCCATCCATCCGTTGACACTGTGTGAAGTTGGGTACGTAAGGCGTGGCGAAAAACACCCACCTCAGTGGTCTTGAACTATATTGAAACTGCAGGATTTCACAAAAGCCCGTCACAGTGGTTCATTTGGAACCATGATGTTTACGGGTGGAAATTTCAGCAAAGGTGGAGCAATGCCGACAGTGAAAGAGAGGATGATCCTTTCAATGTAGACGAACTAGACCAAGCCTTGGATGACGTTGATGTCGTCGAGATATAGTAGCCCTCTACGAATTGTAGACCGCCTGTCAAAAGTGATCGATTTCTTGAGACAACTAATAAATAAAAGACCGATCACTATTCGTAAAAATCCGTCACTTTAGCTAGAGCTAATAAATTATAAAACTAATTAATATTAAGCTCAAGTTTGAGATATATTACTAAATGTCATAGCACGAAAATGAGCACCACTGGGTTACGAAACTGGCGGTGCGTTTCCTTGGGTTCTTAAACCCCATCCATCATCATATACCTCTCTTGCGGCAAAGGCTCATATCATGTGCGTTAATTACAGCGGTGAGATCATCGGGCCTAAAACTATCCAGCCGCTTAATGACGAAAATCAACGGTTACCATCTGCAGTAACCGATTCCGCTAGTGGTCCAAGTTTGGTCGTTCATGAACGGAAGAAGAATATGTCAATGTCAAACATTTCAAAGGAAAAGGGTGTGACCTCAATTAAAGTGCTTTGTAAAGACGAATTTGGTCGCGATGTGCTCGAGTTAAAGCATAAGCACAACCACAGTAAAGGGGATAGGAAGCATCTGAAACACTTTAGTAGCAAATCAAGATCGCGGAGTACGCAACGCCACACAATGAATACTCTACCACCGCCTGATCCATACCGTCCGCACGTACGTTTGATAATCTGTTGAGACATCTCGAATTTTAACAAATACTTTTGCTTTAGCTCGACGAAGATCGAGGCAGACGAATTCAGCAACATAGACATCAACCAAATCAAAGTCAAAGGCGAGATAAAAGAGATCGATCTCGCTATCGTGGCCATAGTCAAAGATGTAGAGATCGAAAAGATCGACTAGATAGCTACCAGCGCTATCATCGTCAAAGTTTCTCACGGAGTCGTAGCAGAAGTCGTGGGCGACGTCGTCGAAGATCTCGTTCGTCGCGATCTCATCAAATACGCTTGTCGACCTCAGTCGAACGCCAATGGACTCACAACGCTTTTAGCACCCGCAGTCCAAGTCCACCTCGAAGTGTGAATCCACTTTATCGACCAGAACCTGAGACTTGGGTTTCAAGAGCTGGCGGTGTATATATACCTCGCAAATAAATGTCGTTTCAAATGTCTCGTTCATAACGACTAGTTGATCGATTCAATTTTTTCTAGCTTCATGAGCACGCTTCTTCATGACTGGGACAAAGGTGAGCTAATTCAACTAATTTCAATTTGTATTGCAGAGATATCTCCCTGCTATCACTTGCGACCTTGTTAAAAGACTGCACGTCGTCCTTCCTTTTTAACTCTTGTAGGTTCAAATAGCAAGCGCAAGAAACTATTGAAATGGTTTTACAGCCATTTTCATTCAAATCGTGACCGTGATCGACTGCTCGAATTAAAGTTTGGTGCCGACATTGCTCTATTTCTACCACGTCTTTTAGCGTGGATGCAAAAAACAAGTGCAAGTGAAATTCCTTGTACCCTTATAGCATGCCAAACGACACAAAAATCAACAGTAGCTCAATGTTTCGCGCTGTCAGAACAAGTTGCTTGTCTTTCTGTCTTTATCGACTCGGTATATGTCCATCACTACTATCAAGAGTTTCAGTACGCAGAAGGTCTTGAGATTGTCCTTAAGATCGTAGCTATTGAAGGAAATAAATTCGAAAGTCAAAAACCTCTGGTTTCGCTACGCAATCGTGAGATCTTGCTTTGTATTATCTTACGAATTTCCAAGATGAGTCGGCAATGCAAAAAGGAAATCAGCTCTCGAAATGGGGAATTCGCTGTCCTTCATGGAGTTTTAGCAAGCGGTGACAATAATGATTGGAATTTAGAATCACGAGTTTGGACGTTATGTCGGCAGATTCTTCTTGAACAGCTCGTGGAGAATATACTGAGTATCGACCGAACCCATGAAGTAGTTGTTTTCATGCTTCAAAGCTCTATTATGCGTCTTCAGCTCTTTGGTGCACAGGTAAGTTGTTGAATGCTTCAAATCAAGTTGAAAGCGTGTGAACTTTTGAGACTTTGACAGATTCTTCGATCAATTATTTCCAAGGACTCATTCTCGTTCAATTTCGAGTATCGACAACGAAATGAGATGAAACTTGTGCCGCTTTGCGTGTCTCTCCTGAAAGCGACTGATGTGTATCTTCAGCATGAAAATACTGAAATTCTGCTTGAGTTATTGCACTCGAAACATTTACAGGTTTGTTTATGAAGCAGCTTAAGTGACAAGTTACTGATGCAAAACCAAATGCACTAGGATGTTATTTTGAAGACTCTTGTTCACGTTATAGAAGACTCTGCCAGAGACCAGAATGCGTACGCGTTATGAACACTTGTCGCTTGCATTCTTTTTATTGAACATTCTTGCCAATCTTAGTAGAGTTGAAGAGCGATTTGTATCCATCGAAGAAACGAAAGAGTATGAGACTTATGCTCATCTCCACGCACCTTTTTTTCAAGTATCTCAGGCGATGAATTATATCATTAAATCGAATCGTAGTCTTTTGCCAGCTGTGGTATGTGAACTCTAGCATACTAAAGTGCCATGTCTTATCTTCGTCGCCTGCAGGTCAACAAATATGATCTTCTCACTCCTTTTGCATTCGTTCTTGTAATTGAGCGGTCTCACTCGCTGAAATGGTATGCGGCAGCGACAAATCTCTCTTTTATCTTTTCGCACTACTTTAAGGTACGACGAACATTATTCTCCACCATGTGAACATTATCGAGCTTAAGTTTATGACAGGGTGTAGCTGTACAACTATGTGATCTATTTGAAATATCAAACGACGAGCTTTTAAAATGGAAAGATAAGCAAGATATCAATGATGTGATGTTTGCAGAGTTCCTACTTGGTGATCCAACACGTCGTAAATATCTCATTTATCGATTTTATCAACGTGGTTGGTATCGTCCATTACTTTCCAGAAAGCACTTTGATGCAGATTGGATTCTTCATGACATTGAACATTACATTGAAATCACAACGCGTGACTATATTCCACAGGTGATGAGCATAGCAGTCATACACTATCACAAACTTTCCTATTTTCTAACGTGAATCCGTCAATTGATAGCTACAAAGTCATAAGTATGTAGGGGAGAGCGAGGAAGAGAGTGAAGAGATGGTCAAGCGTGAGCATTGCTTTCGCAGTCAGCTCCAACATCATTTTGCTCTATTTTCGCCTCGTAGAACTAGTCAATGTGATTCATATCACTAACAAAATATAGATGGGATCATCATGAGCATTCCTCCGGTGTGTAGCAATGATCTTCGAGAAAACGTGATAATGTTTGAAGCTGTTCAACCACAATTTTGACCTTTTCACGACCAATTTCCATACTTTTCTCGGCACCATAGGTACTGCGCGCGAATGTACGGTAATCGGAGACTAAATGAATGTTGTTAGCTAATTCAGTGTGAATTTCCTTAATTAATTGCAAGAACTCGGTACAAGCTGAATTAAAAGAGAGTGACGCGCTTTCGTCTGAGGACACACGCGGTGCCATTAACGACATGGCAGCAGCTGCCGTGCGTAGCGCCGTCACGAGTTTCTAGTCAAAGACAAGTATACAGTCATTTTGTGCACGTTTTTGGTAGTATACCAGGACGCACCTTTTCCACAGCATCAAGCGCTTGTAGCACTGCAACATGCCGCGAACTTGACCATGGGTCACTTACTTCCGAGAAATGGACGCGACTGTCACCTTCAGTTTCCATAGGATAATAATCTACGATAATGATTAAAAATGAATTATGTATTTCATATGGAATTGTTTTGTTTGAAATAATTGCGAGAAACAAAATAATTGTGGGAAAAGCAATGCGATGCTTCAAAGTAGCACTATTTTTATCAAATACTTGAAGGTCTATTAAAAGGGAATTTCAAACTTCGATAGCATGGCTATCTTCGGTAGTTCATCTTGTCCAACATGTCAAGAGACTTGTCCTTTGCACTGATTTCATTCTCGATTTCGCATTGCAACAAAGAATTGAAAAATAACCACGTAGGAATATGCGCTATTTTAATGGACTTGTTATTCTGGCGATCGGATGGCGCTTCGTCCTTGGAACGACAACTTCTTGGCCAACAACGTGCTCGAGTGCAGCCGATGAGATGTGGCAAAACACGTGCCCTATACGTACAGCAAATAACACGAATTACGTCTCTCCTTCAGGCATGACATCGGCACAGATTAATGTTGATGAGAATAATGCTATTGTAGCTTATAAGACTGCACGTCAGAGTGCATTGAAACTTAGTGCTATTGCAGGCAATTCCGCTATGTCTGGAATGCGTCAAAAAAGTGAGACGTGGTACAAACGATCGTTGGTTAGTTTCACCACTTATATATGTGTAAAATCCTCCACTGCACCGGAACTTGAGCGCTGTGTCGACTCTTCAAGCAGTGATGCCGTACGTGACATTGACGGTAAATGTGTTCTCATGCTTGATGCCGACTCGTGTAATAACAAAGGAAAATGTGAGCGTCGGAGTAATTGCAAGTGGGACGATGTAATTCCAAATGGAACAGAAAGTCGTCGAAAGCTATTTACCGATGAAGATGTTATAGTTGCGGAGAAGTGGATGTCAATGGGCTATCCAAGTTCATTGGCACCGTTTGTGGCTCCTGGTACTGTCATGGGAGTTCTTACGGCCTTGGGCTGCATTGGGTTTGTCTTGCTTCGGTGTTTTTTTAACCGTTGTGGAGGACGAGAGCCAAACGAAAAAGGGTATTCGCGCTGTGATATTATTGTGCCAACGCTGATTTTCCTTATCTGCTCGCTGGCAGTTTTCATCTGTATGGTTGTTACTGCAGCACTTAATACGAACATCTCGGACGGTGTCGAAGATGTGTTGTATTCGCTGAAAGCTACTTTACAGAATGCAAACATCTTTGTGAATAATCTCCTTACTCCACTTAATAATGCCACGACAGAGTTTGCGGTCGCCTCAAAAGCAGTTGCTGCGCAGCTTAAAAAGACTAATTGGATCGCTACGGACGGTGCTACTCTTCGGAAAATGATTCTCGACTTTGAAAGTATCTACTACAATCACGGCTCGTTTCCGAAACTTACGTGCGATCCCGCTACGAGTGAGACATTCTGTTTGGCGTGTCCTGATAGAGTTTGTGGTTCTCCAGTCACGCATTTCATTAACAGTACTGGAGCCGCTATCTCGACCAGCAGTGATATTGTGGACAATTCTGTCAGCTTGCTTCAAACTTCATTTGTATTTGGCAGTACCGCTATAGATATGACCTTGCGTACTGCGGTACGGGATATGACTGCCCTCGGTGCAATGACAAATAGTTCCATCGATGTTGTCGACGTTCTCACCAATACATTTAATGACTTGTCCTATTCTCGTAGTGCACTTGTCGTATGCGTCTTTTTTTTTGGAATGATCGCGTCAATTGTGGGCATCATCGCTATTGTTAAAAATGCTTGCACTACCAAGTCAACCAAGTGGGTACATTTACTTCACGTGAGCTGGTCACTTGGTGTGCTGGTCTGTGTTTTGAGTTTTGTATTATCTGCCTCACTCCTTGCTGTCGGTGCTGTGTGGTATGATTCATGCGAATACATGAAGTTGCTGCATCAAGATATGTCTCCATATGCTTCAAAACAGATGGCAGCAATGGCAAATGCGTGCTTTAACGGTAGTACCATTCTAGCACCGCTGGGACTTGCTGTTCCGTTGTCATTCTCGTGTAATATCGAAGACGAGTATAGAGTCCTTCAGATTGCAGATACGAAAATGGTGGAAAGTATCATCTCGAGTTATGGTGAGACTGTTTCGAATTATGATCGCATGGACTTTAACTTTAATTCGACGAAAGCAAGAAGTCTCGTGTCAAAGCTTTCGATTGCAGCAGAGGCAGCATTGAGAAAACCAATTGTAAAGTTTACACAGGAAAATATCTTGACGCCGTGGGTAGCATACAACGAGCCGTCTACATCCTACAATTGTGTCAACACGTCTATTGATGACCTACCCGTGTGCTTTATGACAGGTTTATGTGACTCGAATTCATCATCTAACACGACGCTCCAAGCTGCTTGTCAACTAGCCTTTTACGAAACTTACGAATATCTTTTAGCCTTTGACAAGGCAAGTATGATGCTTGGCGAGATGCGCGAGACGTTATTGGGTGACACGGGTAAAATCTTTCCAGATCAATGGAACTACTCGGTCTCCATTAGTGAATTTGCTAAAGCTTATTTCACTAAGATTACAGCTCTTAAGACTGATACATTATTAAACATGCTTGGCGAAGATGGTGCTGTGCGAAACATGCTGACAGCTGTGGAACAGACTCGGTGTTCAGGGGATTGTTCGTGGGCCAATTTATCATTTGATGCCATAAACGAAGCGCTTTGCCATAATGTCTTGGGCACGACGCTTGCTATTTCACTCTGTGCATTATTTCTAAGCCTCTTTCTCTTACCTCTTATAATCTCAGCCATTATTCTACAAAAGCGTCTTCGTGGTGTGGCGCAAGGCACATATGACCAACTAGAAGCGCGATTACAGGAGTTGGAACGCCGTGCTAAGCAGCAAAAAGGAGAAAGCGAGGGTTTAACACCTAATGATCCCAGTGTGAAGCCATCAGGTGGCCTTAGTGCGCTTGGCGGGCTTTTTAAGGGCAAAAAGGTGCAATCACCGATATAATCGACACTTCCAGACTTAGTTTATCATACTATAAAGCAGATTTGATTTTAAAATAATATACATTTGATGGCACCAACACGCGATGTGGTGATTTTAGGTGGTGGAATATCGGGTCTTACACTTGCTTACTTTCTGCGTCAAGCTTTACCTAAAGCTGTAGCGAATCAAACGCATATTCGCGTGCTAGAATCGGCAAATGTCGCGGGCGGATGGGTGCGTACGGCAAAACGCAATGACTTTTTGTTTGAAGAAGGACCTCGAGGCTTTCGTCCTTCACGCAATGGCGCCGAGATGCTGCGTCTCGTAGAGCAATTACAGCTACAGAATCAGATGCAGGCAGTGGATCCATCGGCTCAGGCACGCTACATTTTGCGAAATGGAAAGGTGGAAAAAGTGCCCACATCGATATTGGACGCGTTGCAATGGCCGCTGACGCTTTCTGTGGCTCGTGCAGCACTGCGTGAGCTGTTTGTCAAGAAAGGTACAATGCAGGATGAAAGCATTTACAATTTCATGGCTAGAAGGTTTAGTCCGTTTGTAGCTGAGAGGTTACTGGATCCCATGGCGTCGGGCATCTTTGGTGGCGATATCAAAAAGCTCTCAATACGCTCATGTTTCCCTATGCTGGTTGACTTAGAGCGGGAACATGGATCAATTGTGAAGGGAATGCTCTTTGGAAGCCTAAATAAGGACGATTTGCTGCTAGACGGAACTAAGAAATCAAACTTTGTGAAAGAGCATGAAAAGTCTATCAGTGTTAGCTTTGCTGATGGTATGAGCACACTAATAGATGCGTTAGCAGCCAATATTGCAAACGATCCCATGGCAGATCTTCAGCTAAACACAAAGGTGACAAGACTTGAGGTATATGGGAATGACAAGCCACAACGTTTTGTCGTGGAAAGTAAAGATCTTGTATCTGGAGAGATTCAAAAGCCGATGCGAGCAACACACGTGTTCTCGACACTCCCAGCTTGTCATTTAGCTCGAGTTGTAAAGGATACAGCCCCTAACTTAACTGTTGCACTTAACGAAATACAGTTTGTAGACATGGGTATGGTGCACGTTGGATACAACGAAAAGGTGCTGACGGCCGACGGCTTCGGATACTTGATCCCTACTTCAGAGCATGAGAAGGTGCTTGGTGTTGTCTTTGACTCCAACACTTTTCCTGCGCAGAACCCAAAGGGCAAAACTCAAAGTCGTTTAAGCGTCATGTGCGGTGGAGCGCACTTCCGTGAAGTCACGTCATTGTCCAAGCAAAAATTGGAGCTCTATGCTTTAGACGCATTAAAGCGACACCTCGGTATCACACGTACGCCCGACTACGTTCGTACATTGACCATGACCAATGCAATTCCACAATACCACGTAGGGTTTTATCAAACAGTACAACGCATCGAAAAGGAAGTCGCTCGCAGCACACCAGGTCTGGTTCTGGGTGGCAACAGCTTCTATGGTATCGGATTGGCAGACTGTGTGACTCACTCAAAGCGACTTGCGCTACAATTTGCTAAAAGAGTTTAATCTTAGCACGACGTTATAAGCGTTAGGCATGTGAAGTGAGCGACGTCGGTGTTGATGATAATTTACATGCTGTTGCCGTTATTTCGTGCTATTTACAATCGGTCGGTTTGATCAGTTTCTACTTGAAATTACTAGATCCTTTGATTAAAGCATTATGTCGCGGACGGCGCCATCTCGGGCGCATGATCCGGTTTATGGTACGTGTCCTTGTCTTCCTTATGCTATTTAGTAAGATTGGCTTACTCGCGCTATAGATCCAGTGTATACAGTCTCGACCTCAGGTGGCTCCTTTCGCAAAGGCGTGTACCGAGCAACTTCAAATTTACCAAGTACAAGTAGCATAAGCAATAACCAGAATGCTACAGAGGGAAGTCAACTCGTCAGCGGTACTCAGCGCGTAAAATTTTATCGATGTCCAGTGTTGCCGCACCTGCAAGCCGAACCACCAGAAGTATTACTAGCACCTGTGTATTCTGTTCCCATTCCACCACTCAAAGCTCGCGATGCTCAATTTACGGGAGAAGTTGTCGAAGAAAGCACGCGATCTGTAGGGATTCAAACACTCTTTCGTGATTCTGAAGCTCAAACTGACCCGTACACGCCAGAGTTAATTCCGAAAATCGACACAAGTCTAACACCTGAGATTGCAACGCTTGCTGGATTAAATTATGCCCACGGCCAACTACCTATAGGGCAAAAAGAGCTCAATCTTATTGAACGTAATCGAAAGAAACGTGCATTTGAGTCGTCGTTACCCCCCATGACCGACGAAGCAAATTTTCTTTTACGTAAAACCATGCTTGAAGCTCGGGAAAATCGTGAATGGGCATACCGCGAAGCAGAAATCGACGCGATTCAAGCTCAACGAGTAGCTCTGCTGGAACAAGCACTTCAAGAGCGCGAAAAGGAAAATGCATTTTTGTCCGAACAGCGACTTGAAGCACTTCGTCAGCGGCTGCTTCACGAGAATGAAAATGCGCTTGAATCTATGCAACAGAAGCGTGTAACAGCACTTCGAAAACTTACAAAGAAGAGAGTTCAACGACAACATGACCGCGGATTTGGGGCATCAAAGCCTGAACCAGGCCGAGATATTATTACTGAGTATGCAAACTTTGGATCGCAAGTTTATGCTCCCGTCTTACGTGACGGTAAGGTTGGTCGGATCGACGTTAATGAACACGGTCTCGAAAAAACTTATTGTTTGGATATTCAGGCTGTGCTTGACCTTGAGCATGCATTACCGAAGCGAATGCTAGTACCTGCTTTGAGCAAGTTTAAGCTTCGTGAAAAGACTGGTCGGACTGCTAAGGATAGGAAACAAGCAGCTATTGAGACCCACCTCGTCAGAATGGAAACACTCATAAACAAGAGCAAGGAAGTGGTCAGCAATGCAAATTCTGGCCAATCTCGCCCAAAATTTGTCAGTTCACGTTCACGCCAAAAACAGCAGCCAGTAGTACGCCCTTCTACACCCGAGTATGCGATTGTCCGTGCTCATGATACTGAGGAGTGTGATCTCGAAGATGCAGTACGCTTACTACAGAAACTCTTACGTGGTCGCGCTGTGCAAAACATGATGTTTGAAGGTAAAGAGAGACGTGCGGAGCTGATTGCAGAGCTACGAGCAGCCGACGAACATCTTGCACAGCAAAGTCGTGAAGCAATAGTTCTAGAGCAAAATCGTGGTCCAGACGTCATGAATCGCGTGGCCATTGCAGCTAAAAACTGCTTGGAAGGTGAAGTAGTGTCAGAAACGCTCGATTTTTTGGCAAAAGAGCTGGCTCGATCTCGTGAAGTGGCAAAATTGCGTGGTTTTGTAAGCAAAGCATCAGAAGAACGGCGTGTCCGTGAGGTTGAAGAAGGTGGACGCCGGCAAGCTGAAGAGATGATGCGAGAGCGGGAGGATGAGGTGTTTCGACGAGTGATGCAGGTACATGTGGAAACATCTCGCGACTTTATTGATGATGTGCTTGAAGAGGTTGCTATTGAGCAGTCTCATTCCCAAGCACTGCAAGATCTCCACACTCGCAGTGCTGGCGTGGATAGACTTGTTCAGCAGGTGGAAAATGAAATGGACAATGATGAGAACATTGTGCGCGAACTTGTTGCGAACTTCTTGCTGCCACATGTGCAGCGACAGCATGAACGTTGCAAAGAAGCTAAAAATGAGAAGAAATATATGAAAGCAGCACAAGAACTTCTGAATGAGATGGCAGTAAGAATGAACCAATTACGGCATCAAGCCAAATGATTTAGACTTATTCGCTTCAAGCAGTTAAGTCGATCTCACTTTATCTCTTATGAATTCTTATCATTTGCTACCACCTGCAGAGATGCTGGACATGCCACTTCCAGCAGACTTTAAAAAGGCTTCGAGATGTTGTCCTTGATATCTAAGAAAATCGAGCTCTTCCTTGAACGACTTGTCTTGCAGAGCCTTTCGTTCGGCTGCGCGCTTTTCAATAACCTCGAGTTTATTCGTCAACTCGGCCACTTTAATTTCGCTCTCTTCCTTTTCACTTTGAAGACGAACGATTTGATCTGTAAGATCGCCCATGCCTTCTTCAGCTTGCAGTTGTTTTCGCACACCAAAAATGACACTCGAGTCATAGACTGTTTTGTAAGCATCTGTCGTTAGTCGCAACTCATCGCGAATTCGCAGCAAGAGCAATCCTCTTTCCGGACAATTGAGTGTCACTTGACGGATCAATTCATTGAACGCTTGGGAATATAAATCTTCACGAACAGGACAAATGCCACTATCACGAGCTTGTCGCTCGAGAATCTTCGCATCAAGTGCTTCCTGTAATTTCAATACATCAAAACGGGTCGAAGGTACACTTGACGCATATCGAAGCCAGGATCCAGACTTTTCCTCGGACCACATTCTATATCAATCATATTAGAGTCTGATGATATGAACAAGTACAGTTTTACGTACTGGGGTGGTAGGATAGCATTCAAAATATCGTCAACTCGTGTTACTCCATCTACGCCTTCAGTGTTAGCTGATGACCCCGCCGGTTCAGCTGCCGCAGCTACGACTGTTGCTGCAGTGATTGAGCTTGAAAAAGATACGACACCTGGGGCTCTTTTCGGTGGATTAAGCGTCTCACCTGTGAAGATTGGCTCGCCATACTGCACAAGCGATTCAGGAGGAGTCGGTGACGACATGCTAGATTAGATGCTTCCCAATGAGTGTAATTTGCGACCGTTCATTTCAAACGTTAGAGCTTGCATTGACCAGATTTAGAGCATAGAATGTAACTATTTCCGTGCAGCTACGATTTCTTGCTTTTCTTGACGCTTTAGCTTAGAGAATTCACAATATCGCTGCTCTAGGCTCTTGTAGTTTGACTTTCCATTAAGCTTCAGTCGCCAATTATCGCTATTTCGATGCCGCGCTGTCTCCTGTGCTACAAACTACTTCGAATTCAATCAAAACGTTAACATTATGCATCAAAAAGTATCTTTACTTACGTGCTCCATGCGAATATTCTTTGTTAACTCGACAGAATGATCCCAACGTTTAGCATTGCATAAGTTTGGGTGATTGGGCAGCTCTTCTATGCATTTTGGAATTCCCTACATTAGTTTCATGTGAAATCTAACGCTTTGAAACATTGTAAGAAACTTTAAAGCGTACTTTCATCACGCGCTCGTCCCCAAATGCATCACCGACGTATTCATCCTTTACAGCTACTTCTAATATGCCTGTGTTAAAGTGAGTTGATCGAGTCTTACGCATTGGATTTTTCTTTGGCAGCTTTTCAGCTCGGTAGTTGTACTTAAACATATGCGCAGGATTTCGCTACATTCAATGAACGAGACGTCACAACCATTAAGCAGTTCAATCACTGCCATAAACACATGTACCTCTGCATTAACATTTGTGCGTTTGTAGCATTTGCCACTCAAGTACACGTTGTCCGAATTTGAAGTTGAATGATTCCATTCAGACTTTTCCGATGAAAGGATGCGAGAGCGAAGTGTTTCCAAAACTTCTAACTTAGCTGCTGCCTTGTCAGCAGAAGTATCACCAGGGTAAAAGACACGTTCGTCAAGCAGATAATTAATTGGTGCATCTTTGCCACCAACGCGTTTTTTCGCAATCACAAAACTCGCCGGTGATGTTTTTTTCAATGCGCTAGTCAATGTGATAACTTCACTATTCCCGTCATCCATCTTCACGTGCTCAACTGCAAATCGGATAAATGTTCAATTTCCGTAGTAAAGGCAGAAAATCTATTACCGTCAATTACAATAGTCTGGAATAGATGACCTAAATATATAACTCAGGTTGTCTCGGGCTGTGCTTGCTGAGCCTGTCGGACACTATTGCGCTCGGCTTGTAGATGACGGCACAAGTTTTCTAGTTTTTTTACTTTTTCTTGCAGCTTCAGTGTCTCTTCAGTAGCGGCAACCTTTTCGTGAATGGAAGCAATTGCCCCACTGTCATATTCGGCGCATTTTTTTCGAAGCGCGACGTTTTCTTTTTCAAGCTTCTTGGTTGTTTTCGCCATTTTATCCATTTCTTGCCGAAAGTTAGTAAACATTTCGTTGCTTTTAACTAATGTTTCTTGTACAACGTCGAATTTTTCAGAGTATGCATTAAGCTGCGATTGTAATTGAATCTCACGCTCTGAAAACTCTTTTGCTTTGTCGAGAGTAATTCTTACTTTCTCTGCCTCGCGTGACGTCAATTCGACTTGGTGTTGCAATTTCGTTTCTGCAAGCTGAACTGCTAGATCTTTGGCTTCAAGCTGCCGATTGAAGTGTTCTTCCCGCACTGCATATTGCTCGAGGAATGTCTTTAATTTTTGCTGAAGGCTGTACGTTCAAGTGAAGACGATTAAGTGCATTGTACATTTCATACAAGCAATCTGTTCATGCGTATAACGTACTTTTCGTTTTCTTTTAACGACGCAACGTAGTCCTGACCCTGTTTTTCCATCTTAGCACTTACATCTTCAACTGTTTTTTGGAATTGACTTGATAGTTCACGTCTGGAAGCACAATAAGATGTGAAGATTACTAAAAAAGATGTGGAAAGATTATCAATCTGCAATTTGAACTGTATACCTCTTCTGATCTTCTTCATCGGCGATTCGACGGCTCTCGCTCTATTTTAAAGAAACGAAATTAGCAATCAAGTTGATACACCTAGAAGAACGTGCATACCACAATCAGTTTGTTTTGCTTCTGCAACTCGCGACAAAGTTGCTCTAATTTGCTCTTGGAAGTATTCGTCTTCACAAGTTCTGTACTCACTGAACCAAAAACAGTTATAATGATTCATCTTTATACAGAAATTTTTGTCCTTCAAAGACATACGTGTACTTTTGCGCTGCTTGAGCAGGATACATTTCGCATTTAACTCATTGATCTTCTTCTGCATTAGCTCTAGCTGCTCACTCTGTCGCATGAGCAATATAAGTTCGAATCTTAATTAAACTTTAAATCATCAAAAGATAGATCATAAATCCGCACTGTTTGAGTCATGCTGTTTACGAGCTCGTTCACTTTTTCCTCGACGGGCATACTATTGTCTTGCATCAGAGCCAAAGCTTTATCTTGCACCTGTCTTGCGAGTGTTTCATCCTGATAAATTCCCGAGAGATCAATTGGTGCTTCGAGATTTTCGTCACCACCCACTTCAATTTCTGCAATTTTTCCTGCTAATAATTCACGAAGTGCATCTTCACGATTTGTTTTATTGTTGCGCTTTGTGTGGACGTAGTGACGACCGGGGGATGCTACAGATGACGGCGAGCGCTTCAGCTCCCCTCCTTTATTAGTATCATACTTACCACCACATTTGCTCTTATGCTTGTGCTTTAGACTCTTTGTCTCACGGTCAAGTTGCTTTAGCTCCAGATTCGAAAAGTCTTCTAGTAAACGCGTGTGCTCATCAGACATATCGAGTACTTTGATTTATTCCTGACAATAATACTTGGACCCAGTTGATTGTAAAAGTAATATATTGAATATCAAATAGATTATTGTGTCGCCATATTTTATTGAGGTGCTTTGTTTGACTTCATTAAAATGACAAGCTTTAAAATGTCAAATATGGAAGATGAGTCTCCTACGAGCGCTGATACTTCCACATAGGCAGCATCATGATCCTTGCACCACAATCGAGCAGCCTCTTGTTCATTTCGCATTTCTAATCGTATGCAGTCGCTTTTGTTGCCGATCATAATAACTGGTAGTGACTTGGTTCTTTGCATTTCAATTGTCTCCGTCGCATCAATCTCTCGACGAGCGACGTCAAGGTGCGTTGGTAGCACTTGCCATGAAGCTGGTGTTTGTAGACTAAAGACTAACACGATTGCTTGAGCCCCTTGCAAGTAGCGTGCGAAGATTTGAGGCCCTGCAAAAGTCTGAGATGGCACATCCCATAACTGCAGATACCAATGTATCATTTCCACTCTTTACATGTTAAACTGACGTACTTCAACCAAAACCGGGTCTTGCCCTTCCAATCGAAGCAGCTTCACACCAACGCTGACTATACATGAATATGCCGTTGGTAATTTCATTGAAATCTCATTATCACCAATATTGACTCACCAGAGGTTGATGGGACGTAATATTCTTCGACTCGAGACCCCATCCAGCGTTTAAATAGCGTTGTTTTACCCACAAATGCCTCACCAAGCACAACCACCTTGATTTTGCCTATTGAGACCAACTCTGAGTCTTTCTTTTGTAATGCAGATACACGTCTCATTTGGCTGCTGAAAGCTAATACAGCATCACATTGTTAACAATCAATTTAGTCTTCATAAAAGGCAACACTTTCCTCCCATGTGTCTTTTCGCCAATACCATTAATTACCGACTCAAGTCCTGGTATAAAAATGTCATCATGACAAAATATTATATTCAGCAGGTTTTCTCACCGCCGTCGGAGAAATCAGAATATGGCCACGATGATCATACCTACGTCGGTCTCTCTCCACTTTGAGATTCTCCACAAGAGACAAACTACCATTGTTATTCTTGAGAAGCCATGAACACTTTAGACAAGTTCAAGCTCGCGTCAGGATTACTGATTTGGGCCCTCGCGCTCATTGGTGGGATTGCACCGTTTAACAGCCAGCGCGTGAGCAAGCGTTTAAGCAGTGTGCTAAATATGATGGCAGCTGGGATCTTTCTTGCCAGCTCGTGCATGCATCTGCTTCCAGATGCACAAAACAATAAAGCATTGACTGAGTGGGGATGTGAGCACACGGGCGAGGTATTTTTGGCTGTGCATACACGCTACCATGGCGACAAGAAACACTGTTTTAGATGGGCCAACTTTTTCTATGGCTGCGGCTTTCTAATAGTCCTACTTGTTGAAGTACTCGCACATATGCTACAACGACATTACAGTAAGGCGCATGGACAAGGACAGGATGAATGCGAGGCACTTCTCGTAATCGATTCACGGGCCGCCGCATTGGACAACTTGGCCCGAGCTACTGGCTATTCACATGATCAAATCGAGACCGGCGAGTATGGCACACGAGGAGCGAGATTTGAGCAAATGCGTTCAACAGCAAATGACAAGGAGGATTTGCATTCGCATATTCACGGCATTGTCAAAGGAAACCCCATCCTTGCACTTGTTGTGTTCATTGCTCTTTCCTTTCATTCAGTAATGGAGGGAATGGGGATAGGAGCCTCAAGCAGTCCAGCGTGGGATATTCTCGTCGCAATCTTAGCTCACAAGTCATTAGCAGCGTTTGCTCTAACGCTTGAGTTTTTGCAACATAACGTTTCGAAAAAACAGCTTTTGATAACAATTACAATCTTTTCGCTCATGACTCCCATGGGCATTTGCTTTGGCCGATTGCTTGTGGATTCAAATCGTGCAACACCTGCCGGTGGAGTCTGTGCTGCACTTGCTGGTGGTACCTTTCTATTTGTCGCTATCATGGAGATTATCCCACAGGAATTGCAGGATCCACGATTTCAACTTGAAAAGTGCACGGCTTTACTTGCTGGCTACGGCACCATGGGTATGCTTTCATTGTGGACGTAATATTCTTTGAATACTACTTTGACCTTATCATTAGCTCATTAGTCTTCATCATGAAATACGTCGTGTGAACGTCGATTCACTTTCTACTTCAGGGAGGTTTATGATTGATAAAACGAACACATTACGCTTCAAAATGCTTTTAGAGCTCTCATAAATGGTGTGGCAAATACTCCTTCAGCATAAGCAAAAGTAAACCGATGTATAGACTACACAGACTATGCTGTATCAGCTCAAATTGATGTCAGCAGCTTATCGGCCGTATTTCTGGAACTCCCACTCGCGATTGTCTAATGGGCACACCTGGCGCGTCTTGAGCCATCGTGAGATACAGTGAAAGTGGAAAGCATGATCTAGTAAATGACAGAGGTAGGAGTAAAGAGTACAAAAATGAAAATCAGACAAAAAAAAAACGTACTGCAGACGCCCCACGCTACTGTGCATTCTTCACTTGTAGCAGACGCTTGGTTTGCTTGGCATTCAATGCATAAGTCCATTATATGGTTGCGACAGATTGCGCAGTTGTCAACAACAATGTCTGCAAATTAAGAGATTTATACTCAAAAAGATTTCAACAGGCATAGCTCGATGGTGTACGAACCCCACGACCAGAGAGCCACAGCATTCCACTTCTTGATCTCAAATCGTTTCTCTTCATTTGTGATCGCATGTGTTGCCACCTCCGCGTTTGCGTCACTCTTCATCTCCTCGTCCATCGCGCTGCAGCAGATTTGGGTCTATCTGTCAAAAATCTTTAAAAACCATAAAATATTTCCAGATAAAACTCAAGTTTGACAATAAACATTTCACCGAGTGCACTTTTTACCAGCTTCTTATGGTATACTTAGCAATGACTTGGCCATTGGCCTTGACTTCATCTGACCTTTTGTAACTTTTTATTGATTACTGCTATAGCTTCAGTGTCTACGTTTAAGCTGTTAGCATCTACAAAAGATGTTCATCTAGCATTGTTAAGCGGGATGAAGCATTATAAAAAAAGTAAGGCGAAAAATGATAAACGAGTGATTTTTCTTTTCGTTGACTAAGCTTGCGGCCATATGACGTGATGTGTGTACGGTTTAGTAAGGGCTATGACAACGGAGACGATACCAAGTGGATATCTCATTGAATAGCTATGCTCTGACACAGAATATTGGCGTCAAATGGGGCAACTATCTGTCTCACCAATCCCATATACGAAAGAAGCCGAGAGTCGTTGTCCTGTGACACAATATTTGGTTCCGGAAGCCAAGTCAATGTCATGACGTACTCCATGATATGTGGACCATTCGCGCGGGAGATCTCTTGTTACCACGTCATGATATTCTTGTAACAGAAAGAAAAGAATCCGTAGAATCCTCGGGAAACTGAATACCACTTCTCACACTCGATCCTCTGAGTGTGTCAAAGTGACCAACCAATATGCAATATGATCTGTTTCGCTAAAGCTGACAGTTTTGTTCGCAACGTTTGCTGAACTCAACTCCTCCTCCAGTACTAACCACACCATGCTGGTGAGTCTGTCGTCTTGCAATCCCTTGCTCACACACCCTAGTTAACAGTCCTCCCGCCCTGTAAGAGACTCAGTTAAATGTAGTGGAGCGAGTCATACAGCCATCAGAATCACTCCGTTCATTTTATCATGAGTGACTTACTCATTCTTGGAGCCTCACTACTCCACACGGTCAATAGCTCACACAGAGTTGATCTCAGCTGTATCGTAACAAGAACGGGTCATTTTTATTTATTTCAGGGCCTGCTTCAACTACTCGCGCTTGCAATCGCTATTCAGCTCGACCGATTATGGCAACAAAGACACTAACTCACAGCTGCTCTTGATCGCCCTTCCACACCGAAGAGCTGGAGACCACGCCATACAGTCGTTTTCTCCCACCTCAGCAGAGATACGCGTCAAGTGCTTCTCTGCGCGAAGCACTTGGCAAAAGCATTGTTATCATTTCTGGGCAGTCTATATCCTCCACGGAAGCAATTGCGTTTCGAAGCGCGTAAAAGCTCACCTACTTCCGGACTGAGTTAGTTCATGACTCGTCAAATAATCGTCAGCTGAAACATTTTCCCGCAAGGAATTCGTTAGGCGTCTCTTCGTGGGGGCTTAACCCTTCGTACTGCTCAGCCAAGAGTGAAGGGGGCACGCAAAGATGTTAAAAAGGCCCACAGTGGAAAATTTGCACATACCGCAGAGCTGCTCAGCAGCTTGAAAGATCGAATCTTCTCAGCATGGTTGATGTCTATCGCCGACGTGACGCGCCGTCCTTCATTAAATATGACCGAGCTCATGGCCATCTCTCTTCTTGTCTGAATAATATAAAAATGGGTTTTTCAAGAGCTGGGCTCTCAGCATGAGCTGCCTCACGGAGAGTGCCATTATTCCTCTCACTGCTTGGAAATGTCTCCCCGTCGCATTCTCGTATCTGATGATTACTTTTACAGCATCAAGCCCGGTGATCACCAGCAACCTCGTTCTGTCCAAACCAATGATAGACGTAATCTTACTAGGCATGTATTGTTGTCCGCGGGAGCGGCACTCAGTCATCGTATGTTCCATTCGCACGACGAGCACAGTCACTTCTCGTCTTGGTCATGAGATTGACATCAAGTGCTACCGCGTACGACAAAACTCCATACACTGCGCACAAAGACGCTACTCTTAAAGTCGGTGTCAATACATGCTCAGAGGTTGGATCGTACGCTCCAGCCAGGAGCAGAGGCGGGGCATTTTAAGTATCTAAGTCTCGTTAGGTCTGCTTTTTCGATAAGGCATGTGTTAAGGGTCAATAAATTTGAATTATCTTTTACAGAAACGTTTTAGTTTGATATGTTACGTGCGGCTGGTGGCCCACGTATACCACGGATTTCACCACAACGAAATCTGTTCATTTGGTAATGAAATATGCGGTAACAATGAGTTTCTGTTCCCGTACTTTTAGCCTAGTTTTGCCTTATCTTTGCAAAAATATTTAGCCATAATGCTGTACGATCAGGTCTGTAAACCATAAAAAGACGAGAAACGCGATTCTGGCTACGAATCCCACAAAGAACCCAAAATGGCGTGTAATGCAAATTTGTTTTGCAAGGGAAGGGAACTCTCAATCAAGACGTAAAGCCACCATATCCCATAAACAGTAGAATATAAATAAATGTGAATGTTACTCGTGTACATAGACGTATAGCTGCAACATCATTCTTCAATAATACCAAGCGGCGTCATCTCAACATTCCCACTCCGTATTAATGCTTGTTGCGTCTTGACACTGCAATTTTTTAAAAATCCGCTGATTCGTATATCAACATAAGTATTAATTTTAAAGTGCTGTAGTCAGCATATCTGCAAGCTGACGCTTCGTGTTTTTAAAGTCAGTCTTCAACAAAATTTCTTGTACGTTCTCATGGTAAAACGATGCCTTTTATCTTCGCCCGAGTATGGCATTTGGCGTTGTTGGCTTAGCAGTCGCTCCTAGGTTGTCGTTTCAGATTTTTTACTGAATCGTGACATATGTCCTCAAGCATCGCACGCGTCCATAGCTTTTCATGGTAATAGAACAAAAGCCATATACTCAGCCTCTGCTGATCTGACTGCAACGTTTCGCTGGTATTTCGACTTGAGGACTTCTGATGCGCCTGTTGTTACGATCAGAATGCCTAAAAACGAATGTTTGTCATCGGCAATGCTGCCCCAATCAAAATCCGTATTGCCTTACCCTCAATGTCACCACTCCCCTGATGATAGGCGACACTTCACGTAGAATAGCATGCAAATAGCTGCATTTCATTGTTGCAGTCTGGAGCTTTTCAGAAAATGTGACAGCTGTGCTATCACGTATGTGATATCTAGTTGGGTACACGCCGTCATGGACTACAGACATCCAATCAAAGAGTGTTACGGCTTTAGACGCATTGACAAACGACCATTTATTGCTGCAAACGACTAAGCCGACTTCAACATTTAATGCGCGCAGGTTTTCACACTTCAAATTTTTGCTGACCGAATTGCCCGACCATATCATCGACGAAACAAGTCAACTTGATCGATACTGTTTAACCGACCGATCGCGGTCACTTTCCATGCAAAAAGTACTCTTCGCCTTGCCCAGCTGCTTCATCTTTAATGTTTTCTTTCCTGGGCATTGCGTTGGCCTGATTGCTTTCCTTACTTTTTTGCTGCGAGACTTGTGCCGCTCACATATTTGCCAGTGCAAAAAAGCAGAAAAGCTTCCGGAGATCGCTTGACATAAACGCACTAGTCAGAAATGTACAATTTTCTGTGTCGTCCCTACCACTTGCTGTTTGTCTCAACCTAGATATAGCCTTTTCAGCTGACACACGTATCTTGGAGTTTTGTCGACCACCAGTCCAACTCCCTTTCAAAGTTGTCCGGCCATCACCTTGTCGAGAGTGGCAGTATTGACATTCAAGTGTCCATTTGATACTCGCGTTCGACACACACTGCAAGTATCTCCAGGATTGATTTCATATGGCGACCAGAATATAAGTATCGAAGAAACCGATCCATACGCATGCTTAAAAACCTTCGTGACAAGTTGTGTCTCGTAGTTCAATTTCGATCGCGCTTCTTGGCAACGACATATCGTAATCCAGTTATGCGATTGGGCTCCTCTCGTGCATTTCATGTCTTTGTTTGGTTTTGAGTATGAAAGTGAAGCTTAGTTCCCAGGGCTTCGAGTCACTTATCTAATACACCAACGCTTGCCATTGCTTGTGAAGTCGACAAGTCCGTCTTATCTGCACTTCCCACCGTGTACGCAATAGCAGCATTGGAATGAGTCCACTATTGTTAATCATAGCATGCTAAGCTGTTGGCAAAAAACGGCTTCCTTCTGTTGACTCTTTATCATCGGAACCGTTCATAAGTATTAGTATCGACTCGTATATAGGTTCTATTTGCTACCTGTTTTTTCTTCGAACCAAAATATTATACGATCTTGTTGTTGCGTATGAAGAAGCATCCGAGACTTTCCAGCTCGAATCTGCTTTCAGCAGAGCGATCGGAATGCATCAGCCGCTCAAATTCAAACCTTTGTGTACGCTCAACTTCGTCCACTTTGACGTCTCTGATTGGTTCTTTGGTACGTTCCATAGGTCTATCCAGGACTAAGTGTCAATCCATCTAATTTGCAAATTGCCATCGTAACTGTCGCTTAAAACTTTTATGGCCGCTCCCGGATGTAGCTTGCGTGTCATATATGTCGCCTTCTTCGCGCTCAGCTAGCCTCACAGAGCAGATCACTTTGCCCTTGGCATTCGTCAAGTTAGACGCACAATAACCCTTGACTTACCCTGTTGAGCTGAGAACATGCATTCAAAGCTTTTGGGCAAACCCCCTTGGTTTGAGTGTTCCATTCGAGTGTACCAAAGCTCCCACTGAGCGTTAGCCCTGGAATTCTCTACGTGGAATTCTCCTCTTGCTTCAAGTCGAGAAGGTGCGCTTTTCCGTTTTCATACTCCGATGCAAACGCTTGTCTATAGTTCCATGCAACACACAAACGCTAGAAACGACTCTCATGTCGTGCTTTGTAAACTTGCGGAGGGTCAACAATCTCTGTCGAGTCATTGCCAACAATGCGAATCCCCTTTCCACCAAATTCGGTCAGTTTTACCATACCAGCTTTTTGCCATTGGCAATTGGAATTTTGATACTTGTCTCGAAATCCTTGCATACAAGCAAGTGCTTTCTGTG